GATTCACTATATAGATACTATTAAAATGCTATTAAATCTAAACATCAACCTCAATGCCGGCCAGGAGCCCTCGCAGCCACAGCCTGAGTCGAAGTCGCCGAAGTCGCCTGAGCCAAGCCCCGTGGAAGCGGAAGCAGTGGAGGAGAGGAACTCCAACGGCGGCGCTGCGGCCGCCAAGGAGGAGACTGACGAAGGACCGACCAGAGACAGCTGAGCTTCTGGTCACTGGGACGAGTTTTGCCCCTTCTAATTTCTTTTGTTTGGGAGTCGTCTTGAACTTCCGCTGGTTGCTGGCCAAAAGAGAGTGATATTCGTATTGGAAAGGGCCATTCTGATGAATTCCATGCCAGAGTCGTGTAGCTTGATATGATTGGATGACTTTGCTGTTGGATTGGCTTGGCTTGATTTGGCTTGGATCATCTCAGATTTTCTGCCTGATCACTGATCTTGCCAGATTTTGCTTCAGATCTTCAAGAGCTTCACAGGTTGGGGATGGTTGCAAGTCAAGCTCAGACATGGTGTTGAAGTGGACATGCGTTAGAGCACATCGAAGCCCTGATGGGTGAACAACCTGAAATGCTTGGGCTAGTTTTCTGACTAGCACAGGGGCTTACAAGCCTACCCTTTATATATTGGGGGTTATCATGATTATTATCAGACAAACTATATAATCTATATATACATTAGATATTATTATCATCATCGACCATGTGAAGCCCGTTCTTAACCAACGAGTATGTCATGGGATGACGTTGCGAGTGTCGAGGCTCTGTCAGTCCATGCTCTCTGCGCGACCGGAAACTCCTCAACCACCACGAGGCCAGCATCCAGGGTCGTAGGTGGCATGAGATATTCCCACACTTTAGGCCTTTATGCAACTTTTGGTGGGATCATCAAAACGATTTAATTTGGGAATGGATCGAGACCTAAATTAAATATAATATGATATAACATGATATAACTATAACAAATATATATATATATAATATTATATAATTATATACATTCATATGCTTATTATACATTTACGATATAGTAAAAATAGTTTTGGTGGGATGAACATCCATTTGCCAGTTTGGAGTTCACCCCGCAGTGATGCGCCTTGTCGCAACGCCTCGCCAGGACCAACTGATGACCCGTCTCCGAGTGGAGATGATGCTACTTGCAGACAATTTAATCCCATCACCCTAATATTAAACACCGCATAAATGGTCCCAAGTATGTGGAAATTCCCTACTAAACCATGGTTTCTTTCGGGGTGAATATGACTATGAGGGGGAAGGGATTTTTTTTGAACAACATGGGGAACCTCCCAGATTTGGCTAAAGAATGCATGGCTTCCTGCATTTTGGCGATTCTCCTGTGGGACAACCAGCCTGGCAGCCAGGATGCTGTGAATGTTTACGATGAAGCTTTAGCCCAGCTGCTGGCCCAAAAAGAGGCCGACGCATTTAGGATTCAGGTACAGGTTGTTTCACAGGTTACACTTATTTGGCACCCCCAATTTTGACGTCAAAAAGCTATCACCCCCCAACAGTTGGATAGAAATTGAAAGGAACTTTGATGATCTTTGATGACCCAAATGGATCCAAATGGGCAAGTTTCAAAAGATGGAATTTAATACGATTTAGTCAAATTTAGTCAGTTTGATGCTAAACATGACCAAATGTTTGCGGGTGGTTCATTAGGCCCCTGATATCCCCTGGTCAGGCCCTGGAGCGAGAAAGCACAGAGCTGAACACTCACTGGTGGGAAGCTCAAGGCGAAAATGCCAAGGCTGCCATTTCTGACATATCAAAATGTACTGCCATGTACTGCCAAAGGACAGAAAAATCCAAGAGATGGCTGGCGTTCATGAGAAGATATGAGAAGTTAAGGACTGCCTTGCAGGCGGATCAGAGCATGAAGCATGAGGCCATGCGCGCCATGCTGTTTTTGGTTTTTGGTTTGGGCAGCCATGATTGATGATTTGATGGTCACGTGAAGCTTCTGGAACCCGAGTTTCAGGCAATCATTCCATGCCATACTCCGAAAGTTCTATGCTGTCCCACAGGTGCTGGCGGAAATGCGTGCAGAACGTCTTTCAATTCTGTCCACCGTCGAGGAGTTGCAGGCAGAGGCAGGAAGTGGTCTCTCATGAGCAGTATGTATATAGCTGCTAAATCCCCATTACATAGCCGGGATTATCATAATCCATTTAATCCATAGTCCCTCAACTCACCCAACATTTGAGCTCATCAATCACCTCCGCTTCCATGGCAGGTGTTGGATACCACGGCTGAGCTCAAAGAGGCTGAGCGGGTGCATGAGTGGCACCTGGCTGATCCTGGATCCATGGGAAAAAACACATGGAGTCCATTGGCTGGGGACTTTTCTGTAGTGGGTAATTGGGCAAATACAAACATGATTTTGGGGTTACCACAACAATCATTGACCATCATTAACATCCATTTTCACACCATAGATTAGCACCTTTGGTGGGTACTATGTTAATAAATAGTTTAATACCCCATCCAAAACGGTGATATAAAGGCACTTAAAAAGTCATTCAAATCCATGATAGTCACTATTAAACCCCATTAAACCATATTAATCCCTATTAAACTCCATGAAACGCCATAGCCCACCATTCATACCCCCATAAAGAGAACGAAACGCAGGCCCAGGCCTCGGCTTCCGCCCGCCTGGCGACTCGTCGACGACTTCAGGCAGAGCTGACGGCCTGTTGGGGCGGCCCAGAGGAGTTTGATGACTTCACCAGAAAAAGTTTTAAGAGTTCATAATTTATGATCATCTATGTGTAATATATAATAACATATATATATAATATATATATAATAATATATATATTGTTATGTGATATAGTATATTATATATAATGTCAACCCTGGACTACTAAACCCCTAGCCTTTTTAATTGGGAGGGTACCATTTGAGTATCAGATTATGACTATTTGGTGAGTACCCCCCTGATTAATAAACCATGGTTTATTGATCCGGGGTTGACATTAATGTATATGTATAATATATTTGTGTGTGTGTACTATATAAGTTTTATATGTATATCATATGTATATATATATATATATCTCTCTCTGTGTGTGTGCATATATATATATACATATAGACACATGCACACACACATATATATGATTATATATGTATATACATATGCACACAATATACAAGTTTACATGTATATACACATATATATATGCTTTATAATATATAGAATACATATATATATATATATTTGTGTACCTAACTATCAAAATTGTTGTTAGGATATAATTAAATGGGTTATACGATCAACAACATGAAATGCACATTATAGATATTAAAAACGCATAGAAACACATAGATTTCATACACATCGAAAGGCCTGTGTTTGATGTGCTCAGTAAGGGGGACACGAGCCACTGAGGCTTTCGCACGTTTTCGCTTGGTGGGGTAACCAGGATTTGATTGGGATTCAGCAATCGTAAGCGTAATTTACAAAACGATGCCAGTATACCGCATAACCGATGATACCCCATGATCCCCAGGATCAAATCTACAAACCATCCCAGTTTTTGTATCCAGTACTATTCCGAGTTCAATACTCAATCGCACCTAGATTCTTCTCCCGAATTATGCCCATCTACCATCTACCATGACTTTATCAGGCCATCTCCCGCTATCCATAGAGTTTCCTCAATCATTTACACTACTTTAAATCACTTTTCCTCAATCATCTACACAACACTAAATTTCAAATCATGTTTTCCATATGATACCCATCATTTTCATTCATTTTCTCACATTTATCACCATTTTCTCACCATTTTCCACCCATTTTCCCCTCCAAAGCGGGTGGCGTTGACCGCTGCTCCGAGGCGCCCGGGACTTCACCGAGGAGGCCGCCGCGCACCGCGGCGCCAGCGAGGCGCTGCGCGCGCAGCGAGCGGCGCTGCGGAGCGAAGCGGTGGAGCTGGGGAAGACGTGCGGAGAACCAGTGGAGATCAGTGGATGGGATGGCCATAGAAATAGTGGATTTTCCCATGAAAAATGGTGATTTTCCTTGTACCCCTGGTAAACTAACATAGCGAACTGGAAAGATCCACCATTTTCTACTGTAGCTGGGAAAATCAACTATAATTAAATGGTGATTTTCAATAGCTATGTAACAAATTACCAGAGGGTACCCCTTTTTTGTGAACATCAAAATTGCTGGTATATAGCTGGGTTAAAATGGATGTGAATAACCCCCTAAAAATGGTATTTTCATAGGTATTGATCCATAGCCATATCAGTGGATGGGAGGATGGATGGATGGGATGGAATATAGGATGGATATGGATGGATGGATGGGATGATCCAATGGAATTTCATGAGATTTCATGGATTTGAATGGATTTGAATGGATTTGAATGGATTTGATCCGTGTTTAATCCATTTTTGTTCATCCATTTTTTCATCCACGTGTCATCGTTGCAGTTTTTGAGGCTCCAGCTCTGCGTCTCGCACGGGGACGAGTTGGTGTCGGAGAACCTGCGGCTGCGCACCGAGTCCTCTGAGTTGGAGGAAGCGGAGGACGATGGGAACAGCGGCGGATATGGGGTGAAGGGAAGTTGACTCATTTGACCATTTTGTGGATATTTATCCTTGGGAACAGAGAATTTTAACCACCATATATCTTCAAATGGAAAACATGTTCGTTTTGAAGCAGGTTTGATTCTGGGGAAATTGGGGATATTTGGGGATAAATGGTATTACACTGAAATGGCTGCAATACAACATAGTTACTAGTTGGGGGAACCCTGGGGAAAGTAAGTTTGGATGTGATATGATGTGATTAAAAAATAGGGAAAAAGGTGTGTGTTTCACAACATAATAATGAGATAAGATGAAATATAATCGAACAATCTTGGATTGAAAGATTTTGTAGTGGCAACAATGGGGTTGCTTCATGATGGTTGGACATTGTGCGCCGACCGCAGTTTCTTCCTGGCTGCATTAGTACAGAAGTGCAGCAAGTTTCCAGCATGGCTGATGCATACTACCGGCAAGTGAGGCAAGTGAGGCAAGTGAGGCAAGGCGGGCAAGAAAAACCAGCACTAACCAGCTGGGATCAGCTGGGAGCCTCGTGAGACCACCTTCTTCAGGCAATCTTCCCGCTCTCGATCTCCAAAGGCTCGGACCCTCTCGGATCATCGATCGGAACCAATTCTGCCAAGCAATTCACATCGCCAGGGCCGAAGTTCTGAGGAGAAGAACAAATGCAGAGTCTTGACATGTCTTGACCGAATTTATTTGACATATTTGACCATAATGATATAATGGCAATAAATTATTATAAATGGCAGACATTGCTACTGGCATGCCAAACACCATCAAACACCAAACGCATGCGGTCAGTTTGGATGCCTTGCATTCTGCGAACAAATATGTAGAAACGCGAGGAGATATTGTACTGTAAGAAGAGCAAGACGTTGAGAGTGTGCTGTGTGACGTTTAAGGATTCTGTGGCACCTACGCTGTTTGCGAGTTTGGGCGTGACGAAGAATTTTGCAGCAGTTCCTGCTACATTGATGCCAGTTCAGCTCTCAGTCCCCCCACTGGCTAACCATTTATTCTTTGAGTGATGCTTGGTTAACTCTGGTGCAATGTGTACATTCTGGTGAAAGTCTTCATTGATGTGGCAGGAATTTCGGGAATGTTTGACTGGCATTTGCTTGCATACAGAAAATCACGCCGCCTAACCCACCAAAATCAGGCGGTAACATGTCACCAAAGATTGGAGCTGAAAGTACGGTCAGCAAAATCCCTGCTGGTTTAATCTGGTTTATCATTGATATCATCATTGTTCTTTCTTACATGGCCTTAAATTGGAGACATCCCCAATTTTCAGACATTTTTCGGCAGGCAAAGGCGTGGAAGCTTTAGAATGGGACAACTCAGAAGCGGCTTCCTGGCTCCGCGTGGAGGCATGATGCAGCAGATTCAGCAGCACACGACGTCAATATCCATCAGCATGCAATGATATCTATGTCATCTACAGTATTTTGTATTGCATATGGTCATGTAAATGTCATGTATATTCCGTTTTATTCTATTGGCATTTTATATGACACACAAAAATATAGCTATGCAATCAATCAATCTATAATAATAATATACATAATGTACATATATATATATATAATTATATATATATATATAATATTATATATACATGTATATCCATGTATAGCATAATATGTATGATAGATGTGGCCTGAACCTTCGGGCCTTCGGGCCTTCGGGCCTTCGGGCCTTCGGGCTGCGCCACTGGACCAGGGCCTGGAAAGATGGAAGCGCCAGCTGTCCGTTCTGCGTGATGGCCATGCACTGCTCACGACTCTGAACGAAGGTGTGGAGATCTGTGGATCCATCGGATCCATCGGATGGTTGCTGGAAACAAAAAATGAATTCAACGATGGCAAGTCTGAGATGGCAGTAAGTTTCAACAAAGTGGCAAAAGATGAGGAAATATGATATAATATGATATATATATATTATGATGAAGAATTTGTAGTTTGGGGAGTGCTCAATTTTTGGATCCAACTTCTATTTGTTGACCAGTGCATGTTCAGCATGTCGAGCTTGCACATCTCGAAACGCGGTTGCTGCATGTTTCTGCCAACTTGACATAATTTGACTGATGCCATTCATGTTGTTTTACCCAATAGTCGTCCTTTTTTCTGAGAATCGTTTTTGAATACCCCATACAAACATTGCTCTACATCGGGGTCACTGGGGCGGTTTTTTACGGCAAACGATGACCTTGGCTTTGTCACGTTTGTGAAGTGCCGCGCCGCAGGGGTTCTGCGACGAGTGGGTGTGCCCAAGCGCAAAGCTAAAGAAGTCATGAAACTTGGCTTTCGGCTGGGTGTCACGGGTCTTGGATGGGATGGGTAAATGGGCTGAAGGGACCATTCATAGCAAACAACCGGACCCCCCCTATATGTGGCGGGTAAAAAGCATTGAAACACAGAAACACATAGGTCCTACATTAAATCAATACATTGAGTACATTATTTAAGGGCTGCCGCCCCTGCCGCCGACCCCGGAAGAAGTGGCAAGGAAGCAAAGCTGGCAGAAAAACGCTTCGGTGCGTTGCACCTTGAGGTTCTCGACCTTTTTGCTATGTACATCCTTGTGAAATATATTTGATAGGTTTGAATTTTCATGTGTAAATGGGTTTTTCATTTGAGTGCATGTTAATACTCTGATCTTATGGTTTTATGGGTTCATGGATCTAAGTAACAGTATAATAGTTAGATATATATATATATACACAATATTTTTGGCCCTATTATTATACAGCTAATGTTGCGCCGCACAGGTGCATGGTTGCGCCGCACAGGTGCATGATATTTTATGAAAGTATACGAGGGCGTTGTTTTTTTTGATCCCCCACCTTGTTTGTTTGACTTCCCCCGTGTTTTTTTGACCCCTCATGAACGAAATCTGAAATGAAACTCTAAAGAAACTCTCAAGAAACCCACATGAATGTTTGAAAACCTTGACAAGATTTTCTGATAAGAAATTCACATAACACTCGAAATTAAACGCGAAAGGAAATCGGAAAGAATCCCTAAATGAAACCCTACATGAAACCCGACAGAAACGCAAAAGAAACTCGAAATAAAACCCTTAAGAGATGTAAATATCAAGAGAATTCCTACATGAAATTGAAATCCTACTTTTTTTGTTTTATTCTTTCCTGTTTGTATCTTAAATGAAAGTTTAAACACCGTAGGTGAAACTGTGAAACCGAAAGAAACCCGAATGAATTGCTGCCAGAAACCCCTACATGAAACACAAAATGAACCCTAAAGAAATCATAAATTGACCTAAAGAAACTATAAATGAAAGCCTGCAATTCAATGCAATGCAATGCACTGCAATGCAATGCAAGGCAATGCAATGCAATGCAAGGTAATGCAATGCAATGTACTGCAATGCAATGCAATGTAATGGAATGCAATGTAATGCAATGCAATGCAATGTAATGTAGTGCAATGCAATGTACTGCACTGCAATGCAATGTAATGCAATGCAATGAAATGCAATGCAATGCAATGTAATGCCATGCAATGTACTGCAATGCAATGCAATGTAAGGCAATGTAATGCAATGCAATGCAATGTAATGCAATGCAATGTACTGCAATGCAATGTAATGGAATGCAATGTAATGCAATTGAATGCAATGTAATGCAATGTAATGCCAAGCAATGTAATGCAATGCAATGCATTGCAATGAAAAGCAATGAAATGTAATGCAATGCAATGCAATGCAGTGAAATGTAATGCAATGCCATGTAATGCAATGTAATGCCATGCAATGTAATGCAATGCAATGCCCTGCATTGCAATGAAGAGCAACGAAAGGTAATGCAAAGCAATGCAATGAAGTGTAATGCAACGCAATGTAAGGCAATGTAATGTTATGCAATGCAATGTAATGCAATGCAATGCATTGCAATGTAACGCAATGAAATGTATCGCACCTTGAAGCGCAGCAATCTTGTTATCTAGACTTGGAACAGCAGAGGACGCAGCAAAAGTACTTGGGCAGAGTTGGGTGCCCACTTGGGATGGCTGGAAAGAATTGCAAACAAGCACGACAGAGGCTCACTGCGTTGCAGTTGCGGACCGTCTGTGTGACATCGCGCAGGTAAATGCTCCTGGCCGAAGCATGACTGATACCCAAGCTTTAAAGGCTTTGGCAGCTGAAGGGTTCAGGTGGCAGCAGGCGCTGTCACACGGCGTCAACAATTGCCTAATCGATTCCTTGATGCTGTGCTTAGCGTATGAAGGTCTTTTGCCAAGCAACTTGGGCGCAGATGTTGCAGCAAGACGACGCAGTGCAGTTGCATGCAGAAAGCATTTGGTTCAAGCGGTTGGGCAAGCAGTACTTCCAAGCGCGAAGGGATTCTTTCCATATTTAGATGCGCACCGCGATGGCCCGCACATTGTGACATTTCTGTTGCAACGATTTCGGGCTGTTGCGCGCGCTAACATGATAATTCGTGTGCACGACCGATTTGGTGAGTGCACGGCAGACCCAGATCGGAACAAGATTCTTGTCCATCTTGGGTTCGAGCACCCCGAGCATCATGCCTTACAGCTGCATATATACAATCACACCTCTGTGCAAGGCAGGGGATATCATTTTGATAGTCTGTTGCGCCAAACCACTGTGCGTGAAACTGAACCAACCGTAGAGACGGACAGCACGAGGACAAGCGCCAACATAGACAGAACAGAAAAAGACGTAGATCGAAGAGCAGAAGCAGTATTTGCCAAGCTGGCATGGCGCCTTTGCGGTTCTAGTTTTGATATCCCCTGGCTTGAAGCATTGCTATTGAATTTGCTTTTTCATGGATACCTTTCTATGGGACCTTCTGTGATGGCATCGCAGAAAGCACGACATCAACTATGCAGATCATGCCAAAGACATCTAAAATTGGAGCCAAAGCCGGACGAGGCAGAAGCACAGACTTTCGACTTGCAAAGCCACCTTGCGGCCGCAATATTTTTCTTCTGGGCACCAGCTACGAGAGTGTGAATGCTGATGTATATGTTCATGATGCAAGTACAACTGACTTGAATGTACCACGAGACAGTTACAGGATTGGTCCACCCGACAGTTTGCTAGTGCCAATTTTCCGACTCTACTGTTTTCAAACTGGTCAGTATGCCGCGTTATTGCCTCTGCTGGTGTCTGCTGCTGCCTGCTGCTGCCTGCCTGCTGCTCCCTGCTGCTGCCTGCTGCTGGTGCTGCTGCTGGTGGCTGCTGCTGCTGCTGCTGTGGTGCTGCTGCAATCAAACAGCCTCCAAAGCAAGAAACAAACAGCCAGACACCCTTTTCGAAACACATCCGAAACAGCAAAACACCACCTAATTTCGTGCCCAAAACGTAGCAAAGGAACCCCAAAAAAGGGCCTAACGTCACTTCTGAAACCCTACTATAAAATTGCAACTTTGCCGCTGCCTGCCGCTGCCTGCCGCTGCCTGCTGCTGCTTGCTGCTGCCTGCTGCTGCCTCTGCTGGTGTCTGCTGTGCCGCTGCCTGCTGCTGCCTCTGCTGGTGTCTGCTGCTGCCTGCTGCTGCCTGCTGCTGCCTGCAGCTGCCTGCGGCTGCCTGCGGCTGCCTGCAGCTGCTTGCCTGCTGCTCCCTGCTGCTGCCTGCTGCTGGTGCTGCTGCTGGTGCTGCTGCTGGTGGCTGCTGCTGCTGCTGTGGTGCTGCTGTGGTGCTGCTGCAATCAAACAGCCTCCAAAGCAAGAAACAAACAGCCAGACACCCTTTTCGAAACACATCCGAAACAGCAAAACACCACCTAATTTCGTACCCAAAACGTAGCAAAGGAACCCCAAAAAAGGGCCTAACGTCACTTCTGAAACCCTACTTAAAATTGCAACTTTGCCGCTGCCTGCCGCTGCCTGCCGCTGCCTGCTACTGCCTCTGCTGGTGTCTGCTGCTGCCTGCTGCTGCCTGCTGCTGCCTGGTGCTGCCTGCTGCTACCTGCTGCTGCCTGCTGCTGCCTGCCTGCTGCTCCTTGCTGCTGCCCGCTGCTGGTGCTGCTGCTGGTGGCTGCTGCTGCTGCTGTGGTGCTGCTGCAATCAAACAGCCTCCAAAGCAAGAAACAAACAGCCAGACACCCTTTTCGAAACATATCCGAAACAGCAAAACACCACCTAATGTCGTGCCCAAAACGTAGCAAAGGAACCCCAAAAAAGGGCCTAACGTCACTTCTGAAACCCAACTATAAAATTGCAACTTTGCCGCTGCCTGCCGCTGCCTGCTGCTGCTTGCTGCTGCCTGCTGCTGCCTCTGCTGGTGTGTGCTGGTGTCTGCTGGTGTCTGCTGCTGCCTGCTGCTGCCTCTGCTGGTGTCTGCTGCTGCCTGCTGCTGCCTGCTGCTGCCTGCAGCTGCCTGCGGCTGCCTGCGGCTGCCTGCCTGCTGCTCCCTGCTGCTGCCTGCTGCTGGTGCTGCTGCTTGCTGCTGGCTGCTGCTGCTGCTGCTGCTGTGGTGCTGCTGTGGTGCTGCTGCAATCAAACAGCCCTCAAAACGTAGCAAAGGAACCCCAAAAAAGGGCGTCACTTCTGAAACCCTACTTAAAAATTGCAACTTTGCCGCTGCCTGCCGCTGCCTGCTGCTGCCTGCTGCTGCCTCTGCTGGTGTCTGCTGCTGCCTGCTGCTGCCTGCCTGCTGCTCCTTGCTGCTGCCTGCTGCTGGTGCTGCTGCTGGTGGCTGCTGCTGCAATCAAACAGCCTCCAAAGCAAGAAACAAACAGCCAGACACCCTTTTCGAAACACATCCGAAACAGCAAAACACCATCTAATTTCGTGCCCAAAACGTAGCAAAGGAACCCCAAAAAAGGGCCTAACGTCACTTCTGAAACCCTACTATATAAAATTGTAACTTTGCCGCTGCCTGCTGCTGCCTGCTGCTGCTTGCTGCTGCCTCCAAAGCAAGAAACAAACAGCCAGGCACCCTTTTCGAAACACATCCGAAACAGCAAAACACCACCTAATTTCGTGCCCAAAACGTAGCAAAGGAACCCCAAAAAAGGGCCTAACGTCACTTCTGAAACCCTACTATAAAATTGCAACTTTGCCGCTGCCTGCCGCTGCCTGCTGCTGCTTGCTGCTGCCTGCTGCTGCCTCTGCTGGTGTCTGCTGGTGTCTGCTGCTGCCTGCTGCTGCCTCTGCTGGTGTCTGCTGCTGCCTGCTGCTGCCTGCTGCTGCCTGCAGCTGCCTGCGGCTGCCTGCGGCTGCCTGCCTGCTGCTCCCTGCTGCTGCCTGCTGCTGGTGCTGCTGCTGGTGGCTGCTGCTGCTGCTGTGGTGCTGCTGCAATCAAACAGCCTCCAAAGCAAGAAACAAACAGCCAGACACCCTTTTCGAAACACCTGCTGCCTGCTGCTGGTGCTGCTGCTGGTGGCTGCTGCTGCTGTGGTGCTGCTGTCGTGCTGCTGCAATCAAACAGCTTCCAAAGCCAGAAACAACTGCTGCTGCTGCTGCTGCTGCTGCTGCTTTGTGTTATTGGTTCCATGGCTGCAAGAATGTTGTTGTTGTTGTTGTTGTTGTTGCTGTTGCTGTTGCTGTTGCTGCTATAAAATAAAATTAAAATAGAATCTTGCTGCTGCCGTTGCGCTTACTGCTGCTGCGTCTGCTTGTGTTTGCTGCTGCCTACTGATGCCTGCTGCTGCCTGCGGCGGCCTGCTGCCTGCTGCTGGTGCTGCTGCTGGTAGCTGCTGCTGCTGTGGTGCTGCTGTCGTGCTGCTGCAATCAAAGAGCTTCCAAAGCAAGAAACAACTGCTGCTGCTGCTGCTGCTGCTGCTGCTTTTTTGCGTGCTCTTGCCGATGTTCTTGACACCCATTGGTGCCATATAAATGAGAAAATTGCCAAACGTGACGTCTGAAACCATATAGAAATATATACAAGAAAGATATATAGAAGTGCCTAACGTGTCGTCTGACATCCTAGAAAAACACAATTTTTCGACAGATTCTGTTGCTGGTGGCTGCTAGCAGTAAAACAGGTTCGAAAAAATCACCTCCCGGGGGGAAAACACCAGGGCTCTGAAGGACGAGCGAGTGCCAGAACCACGCCAAAAAAGTGCCTAACGTGTCGTCTGAAATCCTAGAAAAAGCTAGATTTTGGGTAGGCTGCTGGCTACTGGCTGTTGGCTGCTACTGGCGCTGGGTGCTAGCTACTGGCTATGTGCACCTTTTGCGTGCTCTTGCCCACGTTCTTGACACCCATTGGTGCTATATAAACGAGAAAACTGCCAAACGTCACGTTTGAAACCCTATAGAAATATACACAATATATATAGAAGTGCCTAACGTGTCGTCTGACACCCTAGAAAAACACAATTTTTCGATAGATTCTGTTGCTGGCGGCTGCTAGCAGTAAAACAGGTTCGAAAAAATCACCTCCCGGGGGGGGAAAGCACCAGGGCTTTGAAGGACGAGCGAGTGCCAGAACCACGCCAAAAAAGTGCCTAACGTGTCGTCTGAAATCCTAGAAAAAGCTAGATTTTTGGTAGGCTGCTGGCTACCGGCTGCTGGCTGCTACTGGCGCTGGCTGCTAGCTACTGGCTATGTGCACCTTTTGCGTGCTCTTGCCCACGTTCTTGACACCCATTGGTGCCATCCTAGAAAAACACAATTTTTCGTGCTGCTAGCTGCTGCAAGCTGCTGCACTGCTGCCGTTGCGCTTACTGCTGCTGCGTCTGCTTGTGTCTGCTGCTGCCTACTGATGCTTGCTGCTGCCTGCTGCTGCCTGCGGCGGCCTGCTGCCTGCTGCTGGTGCTGCTGCTGGTGGCTGCTGCTGCTGTGGTGCTGCTGTCGTGCTGCTGCAATCAAACAGCTTCCAAAGCAAGAAACAACTGCTGCTGCTGCTGCTTCTGCTGCTGCTGCTGCTGCGCCTTTTTGCGTGCTCTTGCCCATGTTCTTGACACCCATTGGTGCCATATAAATGAGAAAATTGCCAAACGTGACGTCTGAAACCCTATAGAAATATATACAAGATATATAGAAGTGCCTAACGTGTCGTCTGACATCCTAGAAAAACACATTTTTTCGACGGATTCTGTTGCTGGAGGCTGCTAGCAGTAAAACAGGTTCGAAAAAATCACCTGCCGGGGGGGAAAACACCAGGGCTCTGAAGGACGAGCGAGTGCCAGAACCACGCCAAAAAAGGGCCTAACGTGTCGTCTGAAATCCTAGAAAAATCTAGATTTTTGGTAGGCTGCTGGCTACTGGCTGCTGGCTGCTACTGGCGCTGGCTGCTAGCTACTGGCTATGTGCCCCTTTTGCGTGCTCTTGCCCACGTTCTTGACACCCATTAGTGCCTGCTGCCTGCTGCTGGTGCTGCTGCTGGTGGCTGCTGCTGCTGTGGTGCTGCTGTCGTGCTGCTGTCGTGCTGCTGCAATCAAACAGCTTCCAAAGCAAGAAACAACTGCTGCTGCTGCTGCTGCAGCTTTGTGTTATTGGTTCCATGGCTGCAAGAATGTTGTTGTTGTTGTTGTTGTTGCTGTTGCTGTTGCTCTTGCTGTTGCTGCCATAAAATAAAATTAAAATAGAATCCTGCTGCCTGCTGCCTGCTGCTGCCTGCTGCTCCTGCCTGCTGCTGGCTGCTGCCTGCTCCTGCCTGCTGCTGGCTGTTGCTGGCTGCTGCTGGCTGCTGCTGGCTGCCTAACGCCGGCTGCTGCTGGTTGCTGCTGCCGGATGCTGCCTGCCAGACACCTACTGCTGCCTGCTGCTGGCTGCCTGCTGCTACCTGCTGCTCCTGCCTGCTGCTGGCTGCTGCCTGCTCCTGCCTGCTGCTGGCTGTTGCTGGCTGCTGCTAGCTGCTGCTGGCTGCTGCTGGCTGCCTAACGCCAGCTGCTGCTGGTTGCTGCTGCCGGATGCTGCCTGCCAAACACCTACTGCTGCCTGCTGCTGGCTGCTGCTGGCTGGTGCGGGCTGCTGCTGGCTGCTGCTGGCTGCTACCTGCTGCCTGCTGCCTGCTGCTGCCTGCTGCTGACTGGTAGTAAAAGTAGCAGTGCAGCACCTCTTCTTCCCTTACGCGCTCCCCCTTGCATCGGCCGGGGTCAGCGAATTATTATTATTCTTTCCTGGCAGCTGTGTCATAAACTCTTTTTCCCTTACGCACTCCCCCTTGCGTCTGCCGGGGTCGGCGGATATCCCCCCAATTACCATCAATTACCCATCCCAAGAAGTTTTATGAATCTGGGTTGACATGTGTTGACATATACCATTCTACTTAACTTATACCCGATACCCTCATATAGATGTGTCATGATGCGTCACCATGCGTCACCATACGATGACGATTCCCAATTCCTACCACATACCCTGGCTACCATACGTGCTTTGGAATTTACCAAAAAGGTCGTATTTCAATGTATTTCAGTAGGTAAAACTACTCATGGTTATCCACTTGATCTATTCCAATTTAGATAATTTAGGCATTTACTAGGATTTAATAGGACAAATAATACTTAAGTTCAACTACAGATAAATACATTTCCCAGTTACATAGAATATATGTACTAATATATATAGATTCTATAGATACGGGTTTTCATGGATTTTCCCATACATTACCAACAAAATGCCATGTTTTTCAGCGGAGAGCGGGATATCTGGCAGCGAGGCCATTGAAGAGCTGGGCTATGGATCAGCTGCCGATGCAGTGGACTGGCTACAGAAGGGCGGTGGCATTCACGAAGTTAACGACGCTTGGGCGCTTGGGACATGGGATGGGCATGGTGTCATGGGAAAGCCCGTTTATTGACTTTTGGATACTTTGGATATGTTAATTGACTTTTGTTGATTGACTTTTGGATATGTTAATTATTGTTAATTAAACAAACGCACATATTTAATTTTTAGGAACCCCATAGACCATAGATCAGCCACAGACCAATGCCAGGAATTTCTTCGGCGTGCCCATCACGACGACGTGCATTCAGTTCCCCACTACAGTTGCTGGTTTGCACATTTGAAGGTCGCTACAGTGAGAAAAGAAAAAAGGAAGGCCTTCTGCTCAGGACATCATAGGACATCTCAGAACCTATGACCGATGCCTACAAACACGCAGTACAGGGCGGGTGAGTGCACTTGACATGCCTGAGGCGTAAAATGTGGAGAGTCAGATGCAGAAAGCTTTAGTGGAGCTCAAGACAGCAGGACTTTCTACCAGATCTTCCGGGCGCTGCTTCAGTAGCTGCCAGGCAAACTTTGCTGTCAAGGGCTTGAGGCCACGATGCAGAAAGCTCACACATTCCATGATTTGTGAGTCGATGATTTGCATTTTTCCCTGTGCCATTCATGCACTGCAGACTTGAGAAATAGATAACGATAAAGTTGAACATGCTGGTAACATGCTTGATTGATTTTGCAGGTTTGGGCAACTTTCGGAGATTGCAGATGTGACGCTCTGGTACACGATGTAAGGAGAGCTGAGATGACAATGCGAAAGTGGCCTCAGGCCTTCAAACTCTACATCGGCATCATCGGCAAAGGTTGCCACAGCAGTACAAGACACATAAGACACACACACATTTTCCCAAACCAATCTAGATCACTTATGCAAACCGTTTTTTCGTTGGTTTTCATGGTTTTTCATCAACGCCATACTTAGCAACATGCACAGCATGCACTGAAGCTTTAGGCACATAATGCGTACAGCTTTAGACAGCTTAAGAGACCTGAAAAAGAACCTGAATGGTGGCATGAAGTGTGGTAACTTTGTGGTCTCAAAGGGACGGTATTTCACCGCAAGACCACAAGGTAGCACGCCCGGCTTTGCCCAGTGCTTGGCAGCTGGTGATGGAAAAAATGGGAAAACACCACTGGGTTTGGTTTTGTGCAATGATCCCTGCAGGTAAATGACTAGTAGTTGGTGGCTAGTAGATGTTCACTACCTCCATCTACCTCCTATTAAAATCCATGTAAATCCTCATGATTGCACGGGCTTTTGAGGGATCATTGGCATCATTGGTTTCCTCAAGGACAGCGGCGTCGACGCGGAGACGCAGAAGGTGAGGGGCGGCCTTCGGGCCTTCGGGCCTGCGCCAGTTTGGATGTGAGCATGTTTGCAACATGGGGGTGGTCAAGGGACCGCATAGCTTTTCACACGATCCAAACCCATGTGTTGCGGTAACAAAAAAACACAAAGCAATCCATTGATAGACGGGTTTTTCTCCAAGCTGTCTCGAGAAGCTTCAGGCGCTGAAGAGAATTGAGGAACTAAAGAAGCAGTTGGAGAAGCTGAAGGCTAGCGCTGCAACCCTACAGCGTGGGGTTCTTGGTCTGACCATGGTGGGGCGATAGTCGACTCAGCTCCGAGCTTAGGGTCACTACTGTCCGGCTGTCAGGTCAAGGAGTGCTACTCCTTGAATGCCTTTCGTCAACATGCTAACAATGTTGGAACTGCATGACATCTTATGCATAGTAAGAAGCCATTTGCTTGTTTCAATTTTTCTAGTTTGATTCTTATACAGCTTCACAGTAAATCGATAGTTCGTTTTCAGCACTGCCCGATCCTGCCATGAGTTTCGCGTGGCCATAGATGAAGTCTCCCACCAAACGTGTCTCTAAAACCTATATTGAGCTAGCACCTCAACCGATGCAGTCCATATCAATACATGTTGCTTACAATCATGGCATCACTAACAATCGCAACGGTTTGCTGGTTTTCTTTCAAGCTGGCTATTCTTGATTATTTTGAGCAAGCACGTTTTTAGAAGGCGGCGGTGTTTTTTTGTTTTCCAGCAACGGCCCAATAAGTGCCTATCCAGGCAAAAATCACAACGGAACATCAGGAAGGTATATTAATATAAGATTGTAATAGATTCTACAAGTATATATCATATCCATGATCCATATCGGATATATTTATATATAGGTGAATTATGTGTACACACCAATGTATACTACAAAGCCATCAACCCATCCATTCCCGTTGTATTCGCCGACAAATCTGGCCGTTGTGAGGTGAGTGGGATGAGCTCAACGCCAAGTGCCAGAAGTTTGATCAGGAAAAGGCGGAGGCAGCGTGTTATCCATATCGATAAACATCTATCACTCAGTCAACTCGGGTATATCTCAGACACATTTGTCAATCGATTTTTGCATACAAATTCTGAATGCTGAATAATACCTATATCATCCTATATCATCCTATATCTACATACCAGTAGTACCGCACAAGGCGGTGGCGGAAGTTTCAAAAATAGGAAACCTATAGGAGAGCTTGGTTGTTGTGAATCCGGGATGGCAGAGCGAAGCCACTGATGGACTGAAAGGTGCTTGATCTCTCTCACTCTTTCTCTCTCTTTCTCTGACTATCTACCTACCTACCTATCTATTTTCTATGTATCTATCTATCTATCGATCTTTCTAGTGTAGTGTAATGTAGTGTAGTGTAATTTAGTGTAGCGGTGTGTAGTGGAGTGTAGTGGAGTGTAGTTGTGTAGTTCTGTAGTTGTAGTTGTAGTGTTGTGGAGTGTAGTGTAGTGTAACGTACTGTAGTGTAGTGGAGTGTGTAGTGTAGTGTAATGACCCGAAGCGAAGCGAAGCGACATCTGAACCTCCAAAAGTGGTCCGAACCCCTAGTGTTTTGTACATTTTGACTTGGAAATGTGCTTCGCGCCACAACGGCGTGCACTTTTTCGACATCTCAACTTCCAAAAGTGGCGCGAACATGTAGTGTTTTGTACATTTTGACTTGGAAATGTGCTTCGTGCCACAACGGCGTGTACTGTTTCGACATCTCAACTGCCAAAAGTGGTCCGAACCTGGTGTGTTTTGTACATTTTGACTTGGAAATGTGCTTCGCGCCACAACGGCGTGCACTTTTTCGACATCTCAACTTCCAAAAGTGGTCCGAGAATGCTGTGCTTTGTACATTTTGACTTCGAAATGTGCTTCGTGCCACAACGGCGTGCAATTTTTCATCTCTCATCTGGCCAGCTGGCTCCGCACCCGCCGCTTTAGCGAGCCTACTTTTCGACCCGTCGGAGCCCCAATTCATTGGAAAAACACAGTGTTTCGCGATTTTCCTACCCTTTCGCGCATCTGCATCTTCTTTCTTCTACTCTTCTTTCTTCTAATCTTTCTCTTCTCTCTGCCTCTTCCCTCCTCTGCTTTTCATCTGTCCATATTGTCGGAAGTTTGACTTCAAAACTTCCTTCGATCATGGTAACATATGGGTTTAATGACCGCTTCCGATTTCGAGGATGCACCAACACCGTATCGGACAAAGCAGTTTTTGTTGCGAAAGCTGCTGCTGTTTTCAGGTGGCAGCGCTCCATGCCCGTGCCAAGGAGCTGCTCAGCAAGCCAGGCGAGTGGAAAGGGCGGCACAGCCATGGCGCGGCATGTCATGATCAGTGCTAATGACTTAGCCATGGTGAGGCCGCGTGTGATGCTGGAAGATGCTGAATGTTGGAGCAATGCTGGCTACAAAGCTGCCAGCTATTCATGAAAATAGCGAACATGGTGTCTCACATCGTCATAGGTTTCAGATCCATTGCCAAAGGCACCCTGACTGATACCGAGTTGAGAACTAATCGCATTGCCAGTGACCTGGGATGAAAGTGTCTCACTTTCCACGGGCAGAGAGCAAAATCAGGAGATTGGCATCTGTCAGTAGCAATGACTTTGCTTTTGCGGCCACTGGAACTTGCGGCAGTGCCTCATGCAGCTCTCTGAACTTTTCAATGCTATTATGATCTAGTGCGAATATTGATGAATATTGTAATTGTATTACTCTGTTTGTAATAAAGAATATAAGAATGTAGTTTCAGGTCCAGCATGTCAACACAATTCGCTTTTCTTCAGCATTGCACGGAGGTGGCCAGTTTCAGATGCCTCAGGCGGCAGAGGTGCCCCCAAAAAAGGCCGCTGCGGAGAGTGGTCACTCAGCCCGTTCTGCCAGGCTTCTTGTCCCAAGTGTGGAGCAGCTTGGCCAAATCATGACCTGGTCTGACCTTGTCGGAAGCCGTTTGTCTGTCATCTGTCTCCTCGGCTCGCGTGGTCGTATGACTTAGCTGCAATCTTTCCATATCTTTCCATCGATTTACAAAAAAAGGTGTCAGGACTCTGAGGTTTTCCAGGACACTGGTCATGGTCATCCTCGCCAAGGTGGCCGGCGCATGCTCCTGTGGGCTTCAGCCTGACGTCCCTGCTCAGGTCGGGATTTTGTCACTGCAGACGTCAAGGGTGGTTGCCATTGACAAACTTTGAGTCAAACTTTGAGTCAAACTGTGTCACTGGTCATTGCAGGGCATTCCGTTGGTTCAAGCCGAGACAAGTAGGTTTAAAACTTTGAGAACGTAGCCATGATTGCCTTGCTGGCATTGCTGACACTTGTGGCTGCGCACAATGGCACCTGCCCCGCCACCAAGAAGTGTGGGGGTGACGCGGGTGAAGCTGGACTACCTTGTTGTCAAATCACATCTTCCACCTTTGAGTGCTGTTCCTCGTCAGAGGCTTGCATTCCGAAGGTTGGTTGCCGTTGCTCGATCAAGGACTATGAGGAATACAGCTTCCAGCAATTTTGCTCAGAGTTTTCCAAAACCTACGAAGCAGAAGAAGCTGCAGAGAGGCAGGCGGTTTTCGAGGCCAACTTGAAGAAGATTCAAGCTCACAATGCCGAATACAAATCCGGCTTGCACTCTTGGTACATGGGAGTGAACCAGTTCGCAGATTGGTCCGAAGAGGAGTTCGGAGGAATCAGGGCAACTCAGTATCATCCATCATCTTTCCAAGCATCCAGCACACTGCAATTGACCAGCACCAAGCCCCGACCTGAAAGCATGGATTGGCGCAGCAAAGGTGTCGTCACTGCGGTGAAAAACCAAGGCTCGCTGCATGGTTTGTAGTTCGTTCATCTGGTTCTTGAAAAGTGATCCTGATCCAGCACAATCCAGCATAACCCAACAGAATGATGTAGATGTGGACGCCCACTGCTCCCCAACTTTGATTGTGGTAGTCAGTTGTAGTGCATCTTTGCATGCAGCAACCTTCAAACCAAAGGATGAAAAGGGCCATTTTGGATTGGTTCCGTGGCCAGAACATTCAAACAGTTTTGATAATGAGAGTCCAAGGGTCACTCGGTGTATGACTCCTTGGTTGTGTTTTTGTGTGAGGAAAGTCAGGAAAGTTCCTATTTTTCTTTCAAAAAGGCACCTCAGACCTCATCTCTCTACAAACCCAAGTTGAGGCCTTGGACTAGCAAAGAGAAACCACACATAACCAAACCAACTGCGGCAAAGATCCATCAATCCATGTTCGATGGGGAATATACACATACCAGCCTATGTGGGTTGACCCACGGTCGTCGATGATGTTGGCAATACTAGTAGATGTGATTGATGAGAAAGCGTCTGCACACACGACCATGCAAAAATTAGCTTGTTGATGCTTGTTGACATTTGCAAGCAAAACAATGCCATACATTAGCACAACGAATCGGCCGCGCACATCTTCAAGCCTTCACTTTCAGCTAGGTAAGTACTGATAATTCTCTCTCACGTTTCTGTTGAAGCCCGACATGACATTCATGACATGACAATAGGATCCTGCTGTTCACCCAATCCAATATAATCCAATGGCGCCACGATCCGCAGGTGGTTGCGGATCTTGTTGGGCTTTTTCGGCGACTGAAACCGTAGAGTCTCAATATGCCATCGCTTCTGGAAAGCTGCTAACATTGGCGCCACAGACCTACGTGAATTGCGTCGAAAATCCTCATGATTGTGGTGGAACTGGCGGCTGTGAAGGGGCCACCATGGAATTGGCTTTCAACCTCACCATCTCCAAAGGGATCGCCTTGGAAAGCGATTTGCCTTACAAAGGGAGAGATTCGACCTGCCAAGCGTACACTGCAGCAGTGAAGGCTAGCAGCTACATCCGGCTCCCAGTGAATGACCCCAGCGCTTTGGAGGCTGCATTGGCAATAAAAGGCCCGGTCTCTGTGACGGTAGCAGCTGGATCATGGCAGCTGTATGCTGGTGGCATTTTCACCGGCTGCAGCAAACACGACAGCGCCATTTTGGATCATGGTGTCCAAGCAGTGGGCTATACCAAAGACAGTTGGTTGATTCGCAACAGTTGGGGAGAATCCTGGGGAGAGAAGGGCTACATCCGGCTTTCACGTGCCAGTGATTCCAAGACTTTCATTGACACCAGGCCTGCAGATGGAGAAGCCTGCAAACCATATCCCAAGACTCAAACAGTTGGGGGTGAATGTGGGGTGCTCTTTGACAGCTCTCTTCCAGCCGGAGTGACCGCAGCCTCCACCCAGCTTGTTGTCTAAGGCCTGTTTTTTCAGGCTCTCGGAGTGTTCCGAAACAGATGTTGCGCTTGGCAACAGGGACAAAAGCCAGGTTTCTTCACACACTGCGTGGGAGTGGAGTGATGAAGCAATAGCGCACGATAGAATCCGATTCATTCATGGCATGACCACAGCATAAGGAAGAGCCTTGCTGCGCCCATTCTCACTAGCCATCTGGCTGTATGATAACTAGTTCAAGCAGATTCAAGTACAAACATGACCAAACAATACCAAACAGGTGCAAGCAGGGTAGCATCACAACGATCTGTTGACACCACTCAGTCTCCTGCAGCAAAGTGAACCACCTGCAGGTAAAACATTGCCACACCATGCCACACTGCACAAAAGACTTCCAGAAACACATCAACACAACTTGTATGTAAGCTTTAGCCGTGGCCACTGGCCCAAATATTTCTCACAGAAGACTGGAATATTTGTGCATGTTTGTGCTCCGCCGAAGTTTTATCAACAGGATTTGCAGTGAATTATCAACGTGTGCAACTTTCACCTCACGATTCTGAATTTCAGGACGTTGATGAAAGCAGTTGATGCTTGGCTGATTTTAGAATATTTAGATACGCAGCGAAACTCGGCTTTTAGAAAGCTGTTTATAGCATGTTTAGCTGTGTGATGACGCAGCGCCACATGACAACAGGAAGAGCTGTTCTCGAAAGCATCCGGTGCGGTGAAAGAGCTTGGCAATGCCGCCGAAGGTGGATTCGCTCTGTTGGGGCACATCATAGAGGAGACGGATGGAGACGGCCACGTTCCAAGGGTTGAACGTTCCAACATGCTTAAGACAGAGTCAGCACGCTCAGATTTGCAACTGCAGGAAATTGTGCGAGTTTGAATCAAACCAAAGATATGGACAGATATGGTTGTATGATGTTGTATGCTTCTGTGATTTGCGGAGGTTCCATGTGTTTCCTTCATTTTCCTTCTCTTTGTGCATGTCCGATGCAGGAGACGGTCATTCCAGCACCAAAAGCCAGAGAAGAGCAAGTCATACCACAGGAGCTGAGGCGAACACCGCATCGCTTCACCATGTTTCGTGCTTCGCCTCAACCGCTTCAGAGCTTTTTTTTGTCAGTTGGATTTGATGGGCGCAGGAATGTTCCAACCGCCAAGTCGCTGGATGCGGACGTGGGGTCTGCAGAACTCCCTGACCTTTTCGACAGTCTGATCATAGCTCCGGCGGCAACGCCGAAGCTCGACATGGACCTCTCCGAAGGACGATGGAGTCGATTACTGCTGGGAACATTTGGAATCCGGGATATACGGTGATGTATTGTGGAGTTTATATGAGTTTATTGTTTGTAGATTCATGTCCCGGTAATTGAGACAGAGATGGCTTTGTTTCGCACCCTGGCATCCGCCTCGATTTCAAGTTGGCGCAGGAGACAAGGTGCATGCCCGCAACTTGGATGGTGGGGACAGGGATCCAGGATGAGCCAGGCGTTCAACCGTTCAACATGTTCAACATGTTCAACCTGCAACCTGGAAGGTGTGGAGCAAGACCAAGGGAACTTGGATCGAAGATGGGAAGATTTTAGAGATTTCCCAGTACGATGTGCCAACATCTCAGGACGTTTGGGCATGCAGTGAAGATGCAGTGAGGGAGTGTGGAAGCTTGTGAACACGGCATGGATGTTTTGTCTTTTTGCATCTTGCAGCAGCTTGCCATGCCGAGACAAATTCTTGGGGACACCGTGACGAAGGGCTCCGTCTATGTCCTGTTCGATGAGGGCAATAAGTCCAAATGGGTCCGATACCTGGCGACCAGCGCAGCAAACAGACCAGGCATCCAGGTAGAAAGACCGCAGACCCGAAAGACCGACACTGATGCTGCTGCTGCTGCTGCTGATGATGATGATGATGATGACGATGACGATGACGGTGACGATGACGATGATACGATGCTGATGATGGTGTTGATGATGAGGATGACGACGACGACATACGACGACGAAGACGACGACGACGACGACGACGACGACGACGACGACGAGATGATGATGATGATGATGATGATGACGACGATGACGGTGACGACGACGTATGATGATGATGATGATGATGATGATGATGATGATGATGATGATGATGATGATGATGATGATGATGATGATGATGTTGACGACGACGATGACGACGATGACGACGATGACGGTGACGACGACGATGGTGATGATGATGATGATGATGATGATGACGACGACGATGACGGTGACGAGGACGACGACGACGACGATGACGGTGACGACGACGATGGTGATGATGATGATGATGATGATGATGGTGAGAGATCTACACGCGCATTTTTTACATTATATACTGTCATATAATGTTACGATGTTTATATATATATATATATGTATTCCCGACCCCGGGGGTTAAGATGCATATGTGTTATATGTGTTCCCTAGTGTTGTGGTTCAAGTCACTGTATGTATGGGTGATTGTCCCCACTGCCATAGCTTCAACGGTGCTCCAACTTGCTCTAGCTGCAAGACCTACCTACGCATCGGCGGGCTGCTGCAAAGTGGGAAGTTAAGCCGGTACCAGGAAGGATCGGTGTTGACCGCTTTGCGGAATTGCGCGGGAGCCCTTAGCGACCTGGTGGAGATTGGTGTGCCAGGGCCTTTTGGCAGTGGGGTACCTGACAAGGAGGCTGAGATTGGTAGATCACCCCTGAAAGAAGCAGAGAAGAATAAGGAAGGACCACCAAAGGAGGAAGCAGACGAGGAGAAAGCTGGCAAGAAAGAAAAGTCCAAAGAAAAGAAGCCCAAAGGAGATAAGGAAGCCCGGAAGACAGAGAAGAGGGATAAGAGGAGTAAGAAAAAGAACCCAAGCAAAAGTCCCGACAAGAAGGCCGACAAAGAAGGGAAGGAGAGAGGCGAGTGGGGACCAGCCCTGGAGAGCGCCCGGAGTCGAAAGACTCTTACAGGAAGAGAAAAGTCGGAATCACCAAGAGACAGGCGAGATAGGGAAGAGCGTCCCAGAGGAGACAAGAGGCCTAGAGAAGAGAGGGTCGAGGAGAACTTGGATCGGGAGGTCGAGGAAGACCCGAGACGGTTCGAGTTGAGACAGATCCCCATTAGAGGGTCAGCAGGTCGGAGGAGCTACGACGGTCCAATCCCTGCCGGGAGCCGACCACCTCCAGAGCCAGCAGGCTCACCACCGAAGGAAGATCGGGACAGCAGAAACTACGGACGGTCAAGCGGAAGCTCGGGGCACAGGAACCCTGACAGGTGGAAGGGGTACAACCATTACCTCAGAGGAGTCAATTACTGGAAGAACCGGAAGAGACACCCAAGGTAGACATGGCGCCAAAAGCGAAAGTGCATCCTATGGCAAAAGTGCGAGTGAAAGCCAAAGCAAAGCCAAAAGGAGTCGGGAAAGCCAAAGCAAGAGGTGTAGCCCTGGTGCGGGGTCGGGGCCGGAGGACCCTGAGGCGCCCTGCCGGGGTTCCGCCGGATGTGGACCGCGCTCAGCCTCAGAAGGTGGCTTGGGATGCCGGCCATACAGTCCGAGGGGGAGATATGAGCCTCGATTGGCTGCGCGGCGAGACAGGTCTGGTGGTGGAGGAAGCGCGATACTTCCACAGGACCTGCAAGGTCGCCGGAGCCGTGGTCGGAACCCTGTATTCGGGGAATCACGTAGAAGTGAGGCTGAAACCCACGGGAACGACAGACGAGGGCATTCTCAAGCTTCAGAGTGGCCAGCCGAGGTTAGAACTGAGGGTTCTTCTTTGCAATCCGGCTTGCAACCACGAGGAGACCGCGGAAGATCTAGTCCATGGACTGCGGATCCGAAAGCAGAGGCCGGCCGACGGGGAGGAGCCCTGGGTGAACAATCTAGAGAAGGTTGCCGGCCTCGAGGGGCCGGACGAGTTGGAAAGACTCCGCACGGAGATGGAGGAGAGGCGCAAAGCAGCCGACGCGCCCCGCACTGGAGCCGAGCCGAAGAAAGAGAAGGGCAAGAAGGAAAAGAAGGAGAAAAAGAAAAAGAAAGAAAAAGAAAGAAAGAAGAGCTCCACCAGCGGGGACTCCGTCTCCGGGGTAGCAGCCCTGGATGGGACGAAGGCCAGACAGGCATCCCAGAAAAAGCCAAAAGCGTTGTTCGCAGGTACGGGGCTAGATCCCTTGGACAAAGTGAGGAGCCGCGCACTACAGTTGGCAAAGAGGTATGTGAAGAAAAAGGGAAAGAAAGCCAGCAGCGACTCAGACAGCACGAGCGGCAGCTCACAAGGAGCCCGGTTGGAAGAGGAGTCGGAGACGATCTTCCAGCAAGCAGCTCGCGTGCGGGGGATTGCCGACGCCTACCCAGGCGTTCTGGCAAATCAAGCCCTGGGACAGATGCGAGCGAACCTCCTCCAGACCCTGGGAGAGGCCGAAGGCGTGAATACTCTCCCAGTGGTTGCAGTTCAATACTACCGTCAGGTATTGCAAAAGAAATCAAGTGGTCCGATGAGTCGGGAGCTCCTCACACTTTGCGCTGCCTCCGACCTCTTAGCGCGAGGGAAGGCGGCACAATGCCTCGACTTGCTGCTGCAGAGGGTGAAGAGTGCAGAATCAACGCTATCCGGGACCCACTGGTCGGTAGCCCAAAAGTTGGAGCTATTGCCAAGCGAGCAATCAAGTCTCACGGATGCAGCAGAGATGCGGGAAGCACAGCGCATAGCGTTCGAGGAGTCCAAAACAAGATGGATGTCCTCTTTGCCCGAAGGCAGACCCCTAGGATCGCAGAAGGGGGGAGGAAAAAAGGGCAGTGGAAAAGAGGACTACAGGCGTGGAGCAGATGGCAAAAAAGGAGGGAAAGGACAAGGAAAGAAAAGGGAGAATGGAAGAAGCCAGAGGATTCCACGCCAAAAGCCAGCTGAGCAGGGAGAAAGAGAGGAGTGAAGTAATGTCGGGGAAGATAGCCCTGAACAAAGGTTTTGGTGCGAGGCCAGATGAGCCTTGTGAGGTCGCAGTGGAGAGCGAAAAGATTGAGGATGCGCCGTATGAGGGAGGATTGGCAGTGGCCTCCCCGGCGGAGAAATTGAAGCAGCTCTCCCTTCGAGGCTTGGCGACCGGTGGGATGCCCTATAAAGCCTCGGAGCAATCATCGCCTGTGGCGGCGGAGCCAATCGCAGTGGCGACAGGGTCAAATGACCTTGGCACAGGCCACTTCGTTTCTGGCGACCATCAGCCGCTCGAGTGCCATGGAGGAAAAAAGGTTTTTGGGAATACTTGCGTTGATGGTTTACCCCTGGGTTGGTGTGGTTGTGATTTGTTGCAGTATCTCCTAGAGGTTTTGTCACTCCGCAGCCAGACCACGGGCAGAGGAAGCAAAGGAGGGATATTTCCGCTGCCCACCTCTAGGGAACGTTTGCTGGTTTTTGACCCAGGGTTGACTGAGTTTGAAGTTTTCTGGTGTTTGTGTGTTTGTGTTAGTTTGAACTCGTTTTGGGGAAGCGATTTGACCAGTGAAGATGAACTGAATGATGCCCAGCGTGCTTGTATGGGCGAGATCCTGAAGGATGTCATGAGAGTGGTACATCTGAAGGAAGCTGTCTCTGGTGTGAACTGGTCAGAGTTTTTCTCGGTTCGATCCATTGACTATAAAGGTGATGAAGTCAAGGTGGCCCAGTGGTTCACTTGGAGTAATATTGGCCCGGCGCTTCCGAAGGAGGTGGGTGTTGTCCCACTTGCGGAGGTTTGTACTCACGGGTGTCGTGACTATGTACTCCATTTTGAGAGGTACCTCAAACCGTCTGCCGAATGGGGAAGTGTACCCAGGCCCAGGGTCATGGTTTCCGACGAAGACTGGCCGGCAGTGTGCCAAGGGCTGGTAGCCTCCAGGGTGTGTGTTTTTATCCCCGAGGAGGACGTTTTTTGCACTGATCAAGGCCCGTTGCTCAATGGAATGTTTGGGGTCAGCAAAGAAGAGTTCACCCCTGAGGGTGTCGAGGTTGGTGTGTTTGCACACGTTATCGCGTGGCCGCAGTAGTTCCCGAAGGCTCCGACGTACTATGGCAAGGGTGAATGCATTGGTCTTGGCGGGGAATGTGCAAGCCGTGTGGGCCTATGACAACCGGATTTAGTTTTCATAACGGTGTACCTTTGCCTTGCCAATCCCTGAAGGTTCACTGGACAATCCGAATCAATTGGGTTATACAGTTTATTTCGGGGTTTGACATGAACTCTGGTAACTTGGTTGGTGAATGGACTGTGCTCCCAATAATCATCTTTGGGGTTTTTGGCACGAGTTTCCACTCTGCGGGACGGCTTTTGTTGAATGCTATCTCCCCCCGCGTGACGTATGACTGACCACAGGCAGGAGGAAGGTAAACCAACAGCACGTAAAGCAAGGTTCGCCGCCGTGACTTCCGCCTCTGTCGATGACATAGCCGTTGAAGTCTGCTTCTTTGAAAAAGCTGTGAGTGGATAAAACGTGTTTGGTCCTACCAAAGCAAGGAGGCAACCACTTGTAGATCTGTTGTCATGTTCCCCAGCATGATCTGAATCTGCAAATAACCATGTTTTGCAAGCCTCAGGTGGATCCCCAACGAAACCAACCATTGTTCGATCAAGGGTTGTGTGTATGTAACACATTAATCGATGAAGACTTTTGTCGCAATCAGGTGACCATTTCGTAACCCTACTTGCTAAACCCTGAGTAGCACGGAGAAGATCAAACCTAGCCATTCGTGCTGCGAACAACACTTTCATCAACACACGTGATGCAATGGGCTGGAGTTCCCCCCGAGCTTCTGCTTCGTCCATGATGGGACGTGCAAGTTTGTCATCTGGGAAAGGAGTTGAAACTTTCTTGAACTTCACGTTTGGTCCTGCTAGTTCTACGTAGCGGTCAAGACATTGTTGTAAAAATTGTCGCATGTCATACTCGACCGTGTTGACATTCTTTGTCATGCACTTGGATTTATGTTGCTCAAGTTCATCAAGAAAAGTAAATCCTTGTGCCCTAGCCGCTTTCTTTGCTCCCGATTTGTCTCTTATCTTCTTAGCAGCTGCCAAAACTTTTGAGGGTTCTTGGATTGATTTGTCCACGAAGTAGGTTGATCCCGTCCACCAAAATGGAAGTCCAGTTGGGTTTTGAGATTCCATATCATGAACATATTCTTTGGGTTCATCTTGGGTTTGACAAGGTTCACACACGGTTAGCCGGTGCGTTCCCGCCCGGAAGGATGCATCGTCCTTCGGCTTGTCCTGGAACTTCTTGCGAGGTTGCAGGTGATGATGAACACAAACTCCAAGCTCTGGCATGTGCTCCCAGTAGTCCTTTGTTCGGCGGGCCGGACTGGCTGGCTTACTAGAAGGATCTGGGATGCTAGCATCGAAGACATGAGCAAATGGATGAGCATTTACATCAAGCTTGACATTCTGTTTGAATACATGTTCGCATCCAAGATATCTGCCGGCATCTTCAGGAGTGTCCATGTCGATTTGAGAAGAAATCAACTTCCACCCTTCGTCAATGTTTTTGGAAGGTCCTGACATCTTGAAGTCATCAACATATACACCAAGCAATAACTTCAGTTTCGGATGCCAAAACATTGAAGGCCAACACTCAGGATAGAGTGGGTGAAATCCGACTGCATAAAGTGCTTTCTCACAATGACGTTGCCATAGACCCCCCGAATCGGGGTGACCATACAATGCCAAAATAAGAAGAACAACCGGATCCTTGAACACACCAATCCATTCCTTCGGCCAACGGTTTCTTGGTAATCTTATCCAAGTTAAGATCCCTTGCATCAACGCTTGGGTGTAAGCTTGCTTACCATCACCTTGTGATGTCCGGTTCCCCGGCATGGAGCCATAAGCATCTAATGCTTTCCCTGCCTCCATGTTGGCCGGTGAACTTCCGAGCTCCGCGAACAAGGCAACATCAGCCGCCTCGTCCTTAACGTTGTTCCCTTGGAAAACGGTGCGACCCTTAAACTTGCGCATGGGGTCACCCTGCGGTAGCTCACTTCCCTTCTCGACACAAATCTCGAAGATCTTGCCTACATGAACTTTGGTTTTGTTCTTAATGGCTTCCCTTGAAACATCATCCCATTCCCTAACAGTGGAGTAGTCCCATGCACCCTTACTTGTAAGGTTATTCCATTCCTTATCGAGTGCAGCCTGGGCAGCCGGAGTATTGTTAATCTCCTTCTGTCCAACGGGTCTTGCCACAAGTGCATTGGAAAAATGAAAGCACATGAGCTCTGATTGATCCTTAAGCTTGTCCCTGTGGCAATGGTTTCCACCATGCGAGCCCCCCGGATTGTAGGTGACTGGCATTGCGGGAATGAAATCATCTGATGGTTCGGCATTCTTGGATTCTTTGACAGCTGAAGTGGCAAAACGATCAATAACCCTGTTGTACTTACGTTCTTTGGCAACTGCAGCATCATGCTTTTCAGCTGCCTCTTTCAACAAGGCTTCACGTTTAGCCCTTTCTCTAGCCGCTTTGGAGGCCCCCCGCCAAAGAAATGTTGGAATGTCCTTTGGTTTGGAGGAACCCTTATATCGTCTTCCTTTAAAACCACTTGCATCGTAGTATGAAGGGTCATCCTTTGAGATAAATTCTGATTTTCCAGTTTTGGGGTCAATCACTTCGATGTCATCAGACTCAAGTCCAGCTTCGCGCATCAACTGTTCAAACTCCTCTTCGCCCTCCACCGGTCCTGGCTCAATAGCTTTCCTTGGGGCAACCAAGTCTTCAATGGTTTGAGCGTCCATTTTCTTCGGATCTGGTGGAGCATCAAGGCTAAGAGACTCGTATAAACCTTCCCTAATGGCCTTATACCTACCTTTCAACGGGTAAACAAAAGGTCCATCAGGTACAGTGAGTTGGTTGACACGTACAACTTGAACTGATTCGTTGAATTCCTTCTCCATGAGGTCCTTCAATGATGCTACAAGAAATTCGTTTCTCCAAACGAAACCTGGTTGCATGGCATATCCCAAAAAGATACCTGGATTCGAAGTTGGGTCAAACCGCAAATCTTTCTTGGGTTTAAGTTTCGGACCAGTCCAAAAGTCAATGCGAGCCCCAAAAGGAATGTTGGGTCCCTTGAACTTTTCCCCAAAACGAAGCTCCCATGGAGATAAGATTTCAGGGTAGTCCTGGATGTTGTGTGCCATACACCAGTGTCGTGCAGCATAACTCCAATAAGAATGGTGAAGCCCTGCCTGTTCAAGGTTTACTCTAGTCCCTTCAAGTACGGACCTGAGATTCCTCTCGGCGACTGCGTTCGACTTAGAGACATAAGCAACACTAGTGTTCTGTCTCCACCCAACTTCCCGACAAGCGAGCTTGATGGATGGCGCTGCATCGGAATAAAACACTCCGACTTCTTCACCAGGTGCAATGAAATGCCTAAAAGCTAAAACACAATCCTTGGCATGACTTCTTGCTGAAGGATAGATCCAACGAAAATTCGTAGCGACATCTTTCATGATCATAGCAACCCTGTCACCATCAATTGATTGTTCGTTGGCATCCCTAGTCACAAGATGATCCCCAGTGATGTGATCCCCAAACTTGTTGGATTCCACAGTCAGAGATTCCCCTTTGCTACGTTTAGTAGGTTTGTACATCTTTGCACATTTGCATGTCTCACAAAAGGGATTCTTTGGGGTATGTGTCATCATGTGCCTAAGGGTCCTGGCCTCTTCTCGAAGTGCAGCTTCACCACGATCAATTGCCTTTGGTTCAGGCAACTGAAGTCGACCGTCAACTGGTTCTTCGGGAGCTTCGGCTTCATCTTCCGAACCTTCGACAACGTCTGGTGTCATGGCTGCTGGCGGTCCGGGTGCAAGTTCACCAGGAAAGAATTCTTCGAGGTCGTCGATGGCTTGTCCGGGAATTTCATCGTCGTCAGCGATGGAAGCCTCGTAAGGTACTTCGACCTCCTCGACTTCATCATCGGACTCGGTACCGACGGCTGACATGCGAGACCTTCGAACAGGTGAGATGATGGGCTTGCCGTTCCCGGCAGCGGAGTTCCATGAAAACGGAATCCCTACTGCTGCGGGTACCTGCCCATCTCTGGATGGTAGATAAGGAACAAAATCTTTGACTTCAAGTTTGATCTTAGTTCCATCTTTCTTCTTGAAATATGGGCGACTAAAACTTTTCCAAACAAAATCCCATCCATCTTGAATACATCTCATCCCTACCGATATTACAGCCGGGGTATCGGGAAGAACATATGGATGAACTTCTTTGTCGATGCAATCAATATGAACAGAAGCTTGTTGGTCAGCTGATTGGGAACCATTTGCAGTGATTAATTCAAGGGGTTCATGAGAGTGATACACGATGTCATCGGGAATCATCTTGCTGCAAACTAAGTCCTGTGCACTACCAGTGTCAGCGATCCATGCTATCTCAGCGGATGCGTTACGCTGCTGGGACGGCATGTGTCCTGGCAGGGCATTCAGGTCGGAACGGATGCAGTGGCGACAGCCGATATCACTGTCACATTCAAAGCTGCATTTGCAAAGCTTACCATGCAACTCCCGAAAGACAGCTGATTGCAACATCTGTGCTGCAAGTATTGCATCACTTTCTCTTGCTTCGATCGTATCTTTACGAGTACGATCGTTCTTGGTGATGCGAACTGGATTGAAAGTTCGTTGTTTGGCTTGGCACGGATACAAATTACAATTTTGCTCAATGGGAACTTCGAAGATTTCATCGTTGCCCCCAAATGAAACAGTGCGATTGGGTGTAACTGGCATGGCAAAATGCTGGTTGAAACAATGCGGAGAGGCGATGCCTTCCGGCACGCGATGAGTGCTGGTCGAAGGGTTGACGACTGCGACCATCATCAGAGCGCGCATCAGGCAAACTGCAGCTGAGCCAGAGGAAGATGGTTTTCCCCCTTTGTCTTTGAGACTCTGAGAGCCTCTCGAGGAATTGGAACCTCGACTTGACGATCTGGAGCGATCGCCCTTCTTCTTGTTCTTCTTCTTCTTTTTCTGGCTCTTTCC